AATGATCATCAGTAACAATATATCAGCTCATTTTGTATAAACAGTCGAAACAGAGATACAATTCAGTTTTATACAGCAAAACCTTCATTCTTATTAATCCCATTACATGGCGCAATAAATAGAGAAACAGTAATAATATACAATATAGTAATCATAGAAAATATAGTAAGAATAATAATAATAGAGCAGATAATAATATCAACGTAATAATCAAAATAAGGCATATACCTAGTAATAATATGTATGTAATATTAAAAATAAGGAATATTAAGGTTTAATTTATTTAATATAATGATATCGACTTATGATACAAAATAGATGAATTATAACGTCTCGTGAACTAGATAAATAAATATCAAAGTTAAAACCTTAGGAATCCACATTAAAATAATAAACTTGGTCAAAGCTTTACAACCATTTTAAATAATTAATTAAATTGATTAATATAATATTTATATCATACCTTGTATGTTTATACTCAAAAATACCTACAATTTCTTGTTTAAAAAATCATCAATCTCTATATTTTTTCAAATTCAGTCGCCTACTACCATCAACAACCTTGTTACTCTAGGAGACCATTTTTTATTACCAACTTTACTTTTAATACTGGTTTGGTAATATCCCAAACTTGCTGTACTCAAACTAACAATCTTTCACGCTAAGACTCGATATAATTTAAATAAACTTTTAAACGTTTTTAACAGAGCTGACTGAAATTAATTTGTCAATGTCATCTCATTCTGTCAATATGACTTAAACTAAGTGCGTATAGTTGGTTGTCACTTTTTTCCCTTACGAGTATCAAAAGTCGGGCCAACACAAAAGATTTATTATTATTATTATTATACATTTTCCAATGCATATCTAAATTAAATTTCTTTTTCCACTTCTATTATGGAATATGACCATTCTTAAATCAATTTTTAATGTGGAATGACATATATAATATATATAAGTATTGTAGCGAGTACCGCTCTGGATCTCGGAATGATGACTCATTGCCGATGAGTCATCGCTGGTGAGTCAGCGCTCGGGCGATCGAGAGCGGTCCGGAGCTCACTGGAATATTCGAGAAGGCGCTTGCGTGACTAGTGTCACGTAGGCACTGAATATATAAGGAACAGCACAGCATGAAGGAGTCAGTCAAGCTTTGGTACTCGCGACGAAATAAATACATAGACTCTTGTAGTTATATAGTTTCTTAGTGTTTTAAGTGTAATTTAGTTATAAAATAAATAGTTTAGTTCGTTAATAAACCAGTGAGTGTTTTAATTCACACTACGAACTGTAAAAACGTTACAATTGGTGTCAGGAGTGCGGTTATTGTAAAACTTCGTTAATGTGATACAACTGGGAAAAAGAATGTGTTGCAGCAGCGGCCTCGAGAAGCGTTGGAACAGGAAGGTAAAAATCCAGATGAGTATTTATTTGAAGGCCATTGTGACATGCATTTAATGTTGCAAAATTTAAAAGATCTGAAGGTCGATTTACAACAAAAAATGGTAGAAAATTCTAGCGATTTAAAAGTCGATTTACAACAAAATATTCTGGAAAATTCCAAGGAGTTGCAACAGAAAATTCTGGAAATGCCAACGATTTAAAGGACGATCTGCAACAGAAAATGCTAGAAAATTCTAAAGATCTGAAAGTCGATTTACAACAAAAAATTCTGGAAAATTCCAAAAATTTAAAAAAAATATTTGGAACAGAAGATTCTAGATAATGTCAATGAATTAGACGAGAAAATGGGGCAAAAATTTGACGACGTAAGGATGGAATTGAATGACGTAAGGATGGAATTGGATGATAAATTGGAACTCAAAATAAAAGAAAAAAATAGTAAATTAACAGCTGTTAATTTACCCATGATGCTGGCTGAACCAGGAACAGTGGAGGAGGGGAGCCGAGTCCGGATGAAACCACCTCAGTTCGATGGAAAAACTTCTTGGACCAACTACATCCGTCAGTTGGCAGCAGCAAAAGCAAATGGCTGGTTACCAGAAGAAAAAGCTACAACATTGACTCTGGCTTTACGCGGAGATGCAACGGACATCTTGCAGACACTCTCTCCCAACGAATAAGAAGATTACGAAGCGTTGGTTAAACATCTGGAACTGCGATATGGCCAGACACATCTGGACACAAGTGTACCATTCCCAACTGAAGAATAATTAATAATTGAAGCAATCAGGCGATTTCTTAAAGAGAATCTACCAGAGAAGAAGGAAATCCGGTGTTGTAGATGTAGAAAGCTGGGACATATACAAAGTTTTTGCAGGGGAAGCCAGGTGGCGCCGACTTCATTTTAGAAAAATAAATAAGGCTGAAGAAAAAGGTGTGTATATTCGCAGGACTACACTTGTGGATGATCAATGGCAGTCCGATGTCCAAGACCAGGAAGGGGACCCAGATTTTAAGCCCATCATCGACTGGAAGAAGAACGACCGCAAACCAACTTGGCAGGAAGTCGCCAAATATTCGCCAAATGTGAAATCGTACTCGGCCCAATGGAATTCCTTCATCTTAAGTGACAGACTTCTCAAGCGCGTTCTGGAGACTCCAGAAGGGGGAGAAGACCGGAAGCAGTTAATAATTCCCAGAAACAGGATACCAGAAGTGCTGAAGGAAATCCATGATTGAACTACTGGAGGACATCTTGGGGTGACGAGGACGCTTGGAAGACTTAGGGATCGGTTCTATTAGGTCAATTGTCAACGAGATGTAAAGGAATGGTTGGTGCAAAAAGTGCGCCGTTTGCGCGGCAAGCAATGGACCCCAGAAGCGCTCAAAAGCGACAGTACAATATGGGCAGCCCATTTGAGAGAATTGCAATCGACGTGGCGGGTCCATTTCCGGAAACAGAATCTGGAAATAAATACATCATCGTTGTAATGGACTACTTTAGCAAGTGGGCGGAAGCGTACCAGGAAGATGCCACAGTGGCCGATGCCCTTATTAAGGAGTGGATTTGTCGTTTTGGTATGCCAATGGAGATGCATTTAGACCAAGGCATGAACTTTGAATCTATATTGTTCCAGAATGTCTGTAAGATTCTTAACATTCGGAAGACGAGGACGACCGCATTACATCCGCAATCTGATGGAATGGTCTGATGGAATGAATCTAACGATAAACCGGTACCTGTCGAAGGTAGTCTCTGATCACCAAAGAGACTGGGACCGCTTTCTTCATCTGTTCCTGTTGGCGTACCGTTCTTCTATCCACGATACAACCGGCCAGACACCCCTAGCATTGTTAGGAGACGTAAACTTCGTCTACCTTGTGACCTGAGGTTTGGTTGCCTACCGGGGGAAGATATTGCTGGAGAAGATTACGTTAGCACAGCCGAGTTCGTTTAAACATCCAGAGTGGCAGTGATAAAATGAAAGAGGCATATGACATCAAGGCGGAAAATGGAAGATTTCAACGTGGAGACTTAGTTTGGTTATACAACCCTCAGCGCCGTCGTGGTTATTCACCGAAGCTGCAGACTTCTTGGGAGGGACCATACGAAGTCATGGATCGAATAAATGACATCATCTACAGGATCGGGAAACAACCAAGAGGAAAGCCGAAAGTGATCCATTTCAACCGATTGGCTTCTTAAGCTGAAAAAAATGATCAAATAGACGATGCTAAAGTAAGGAGAGTTGCCTTTTGAAGACTTCATGTATTTATATTCGAGCGGTAAAAAAGCTCGGTATGGTGTCACTCGAGAAGAACAAAAAGATCTGTTCAAGGTTTGGCCGATTACTCCTTGGCTCACTGTGTTGCAGAAGACCTTAGGATGTCCAGGGAAATAGCGGTTGTCTTTAAAAACAAGTTTGGAGAATCCCAAAGTTGGAGAGGTGCTTGAAGTTGTGGATAATGAGCGGATAGGCAACAGAATTATCTTCTGTTGGGTAATGAAGCAGCTTTCCTATCAGAAGCCAAACTAACGTGACGTATGGAATGCCTTAAATAAATAAAGGGATACCTTTTTGTCCAAGGACATCATGAACCTGGCGATACCGAAGATTGCTTGTGGACTTGACGGTTAAGACTGGAGAATAATTAGAAGTATGTGGCATAGTGCATAGTGGCATACATATCCTTGTCTGTTGCCACAACCCTAAAAGAACAACCGGAAGGAAGACCGTAGACTTCTACTAGGACGTCACAATGCAAGTTTGGATCTCTTACGGGGGCAATGTAGCGAGTACCGATCTGGATCTCGGAATGATGACTCATCGCCGGTGAGTCAGCGCTCGAGCGATCGAGAGCGGTCCGGAGCTCGCTGGAATGTTCGAGAAGGCGCTTGCGTGACTAGTGTCACGTAGGCACTAAACATATAAGAAACAGCGCAGCATGGAGGAGTCAGTCAAGCTTTGGTACTCGCGACGAAATAAATAAATATACATGCAAATAAATAGACTCTTGTACAGTAGTGATATATAAATAATTAGTAGTTAAGTGTTTAGTTAGTTTTATAGTTTCTTAGTGTTTTAAGTGTAATTTATTTATAAAATAAATAGTTTAGTTCGTTAATAAACCAGTGCGTGTTTTAATTCACACTACGAACAGTAAAAACGTTACAGTATTACAGAATGAGTTATTCTATCATCGGATGACAGAATAAACACTGATGGCGACATCTCTGTGTTTAATAACTAACAAATTTTAGACAAGACAACTTTAGACAAATCCAACCTCGCTTTCTCGTAATTCAATTATTTTTCTATGGTATTTTTTGAAAACGTAGAAAAAGAATAGTCTGAAACACGTTTGGAATTGCATATTCCACTCTCGTGAAACCGTCAAACTCGCATTCGGATCGTGTGACAAACTTTTGACTCGAGCGGAATATGCCGTATTCCAAACTTGTTAATTATTAATACTATTATTAATATTAATTATTATTAGTATTGTCTTGTAACATTTCGTAAAACGCACCCAAACTTTTAACTAGCTGTATCAATTTTTATCATTTCATCTTTAATAATGTTAATATTTAAAAGGATCAACTGCAAACCGCTGCTCCCCTTTCGGGAGGAATGGGAATGCATCTTCTCCAAAAAATGGGTTGGAAACCTGGTGAAGGTTTAGGAAAAGAAAAAACGGGCACTCTGGAACCTCTACTGTTACAAGTGAAATTGGACAAAAAGGGCCTTGTGGCTGATGAGGAACAGTCAAAAAAGAAAAACAAAGGAAAAGGAGGCGGTGGAGGTGGAGGAGGTCAAACGGTGAAAACACTTGCAGGAAAACATCCTGTCTCACTTCTTGGAGAGTATGCTTCAAAAAGAAAACTAGGGGCGCCACAGTATATACTGTGCTTTGAGTGTGGGCCTGATCACAAAAAAAATTTCCTGTTTAAGGTAAATAAAAAAAATTTTGTTTGCTATTATAACCGTTTATTTTTTGTAGGTGTTATTAAATGGAATAGAATATAAACCTAATGTGGCCAGTGCTAACAAAAAGGATGCAAAGGCTGCTGCTGCATCATTATGTTTACAAACCATAGGTTTAGTTATTAGTTAAATACAAAATAAATGTCTAAAAATTATAAAATTCTATCATTTCCTTGGTCCAGGTATAAAGTCTTTATAATAAAGATATACTACAAGTTTTTTTTTTATTTTGTTAAACTTAAAATTGGATCAAAACCACAATGCATTGTGATCAAAACTATATTATTTTACAGTAAACAATTACTTGTATTTTTGAGGGTTTGAGTTAAAGTATATTGTATAGGATTTACCAATTAAATTATAAATTGGTGACAATTGTTTTTTTACTTAAGTGGAGAGAATTGATTATGAAGTCCTAAAAGAAGTTTGTCCCCCTTTTGGTTTTCTATGTGTAAAAGGTTGTTTAATAAAGATATAAATATACGCAGGGGCGGGTCCATGGACAATTTTTGTGGTCCCCTTTCTTTTCCAAAATACTGCAGTATTTTGGAAAAGAAGGGGGACCACAAAAATTGTATGTGACAAATTCATAATTATTATAATTATGATCCTGAAAACACCCCTCCCCCTCAATATACGTTTTATTCTTCTAAAAAATATTGTTAATAACACAGTACGACAAAATTTGATTTTTTTCCCTCCCATAAGTTTTTGAAAATAGACTTAAAAAAATGATACCCGTGTCTCGGCGTTTTTTCAGATCACGTCATTTTTTTTGCGATCCAATAAAATGTTATCCACGGTATTCGGCACATAATATAACAGATTCGATAACAGCTAGACAGTATATTTTTATAAATAATTTATTCACTTAATAAATGGACAACCATTAAGATTATTTATTTATTTTAAAATTATATTAATTATATACAGGGTGTTGCACATTTACGAAATACGGGTGTTTCACGTTCGTGGTCCATTGAGAGTTTGTCAGGAACGGCAAAAGATATCGATTTAAAATTTTAAAGCGTTTATAATCCAATTAAGCCTATTTTTCTAAAATATTTTAAACAAAATGCCACTTCTGGCTTGACCAGAAGTGACACCAACTTCGTTATTTTAAATGGAACACCCCATATATTTTAACATGTCCTATACCTAAAGTAAATAGTTTTGGAGTTAATTTTTTCCTTTAAAATATGACAAATGCGCGTCAATCAAAAATAGCCTATAACTTTCTTGGTATTAGGTTTGCAGAAATGGGGGTGGAATTTTTGGAATCTTAAAACATTGTTTAAAAGAGATTCCATGTCAATTTCTTAACATACCGGGTGTTAAATTTAAAATAAAAAATATTAACGTTTCAAGTTAGCCCAATTTGCCCTGGGTTTTCTCGGTTAATTTGTTGAAAAATGTTAAAGAATTGACATGGAATTTTTTAAACAATGTTTTAAGATTACAAATATTTTACCCCCATATCCGTAAACCTAATAGCAAACATCTAGAAAACTATTCACTTTAGGTATAGGCCATGGTATAGTAATTTTACTCAGATTTTATGTAGAATTTAAAAATGTAAAAATATATGGGGTGTTCTATTTGAAATAACAAAGTTGATGTTACTTCCGGTCAAACCGAAAGCAATGTATAATCAAACTAAAAGATCAAGATTTGTTTCCAACATATATTTAATATAAGATAAATACAAATCTGTTATTTTATTAGAAAAAATCAAAAATTAAATCCAGAAATATTTTTTTTTACTTAAAAGAAATAAAAAAATTATTTTAATTATTATTATAATTTTTGTATTATCTAAAAACATAAAATATTTAAAGAAAAAAAAATGATTTATAACAAAATAGGGAATTAAAAATCTGTTTAGGTTAAAATAATAAGAATGGCTGTCTAAAAATATTAAATGACCTGATTTCGTGAAACGGTGAGACACGGTTACGTTTTTTAACCTTTATTTTTTAAATCTGTAAAAATTTTTATGGGAGGAAAATCGTGTTGTACTGTGTAATAAGTTGATTTCTTACTATACTGTACTACATGTATAAATGGAATTATGGTAGATTAAAGCAGGACATATTATAAAATGTGGAAAAATTTAGCGGTAAAACGTACTTTGTTGTTGAAATTTAAAGAAAATTTTGTAATTCAATGCAAACACATTATTTATTGCATAGGTACAGGGTGGTCCACGTAAGGTGACCCATATACTGTGCGTTCAGGCTAAGTTGAGCGGTCTAAGGAATGTCATCCCGTCCATCATCTCTATGTTCAGGCACAATTAAATACATGTATTTCGGTAGTCGTTCTGTATTAACAAACGGCGTATTTCTCGAGATATTGACCTGTCTCAAGTTAAAAGAAACACCCTGTATATATATATATATATATATATATATATATATATGTCTCTAGAAATTATTAAAAAAGGGTTCAGTCCAATGGTGCAGCAACTTCGGCTTTGGTTCCTTTGTCTGATTTTTATTTACCGTTACAACTCAGGTATGTAAAGCACAGAGGATATGATGTTAAGTATATTTATGTATTATATAAAGTACCTATATTTAAATATACAATTGTATTAAAAATTTCAGAGGTTATGTTCAAAAAATGATCGATATGCTAAGTATTAAACTTTAATAATTTAGTAATGAGGTCTGTTAGTAGACCCTGCACTATCTCAACTGGTATATGTTAGTTCAGCAATATTTAAATCTGGTTGATGAAAAAGTACACACCAGTGCAGGTTATTGTAGCATCTACGAACAAATGAATTATTGGCCCATTGGCAATTATTCCTTTAGGAAAAATATTCAACACAGCTTAATTAATTAATAAAATGAAAAAAATCACAATCATGTCGTATATAGTTTTTTTTAAGCATAAAATAATTTTTATATTAATACTAGTTCAAAAGTGAAATTACGACCTCTATACTGTGGAGAGTATTGAAACGCTCGACTGACGAATACAAATCTATACCGTGGGTAGTGTTGGGAATAACCGATTTATTTCAATAACCGACTATCGAGTATTCAAGTGATTTCAAAAACCGGATTATCACTCGAATGACGATCACTCGAATGCTCAATGTAGGGTGGTGCTAAATAACTATAGTTAGGCGTTCGGCGTTGCTTCTTTACGTTCCGGTTTACCCAATTCATTAAAAAAGTCCTACTTACATAAACGTAATATTCAAGTAGTATTGCCATTTTTCTAGAAATCTACTTTTTTGGTAGTTTTTCAACAAAATTTTGGTAGGCAAAAAATTATTAAATTTTTAATGCAAGTAATAAAATTTTCAGTTTTTTCACGTAGTAATTTATATGTAATGCTAATTTCTATGAATTCAACTGTCAAATGCGCAGATTCCTCTAACTGTAACTAAAAATATAACCTAGGTTATATTTTTAGGTTATATACAGCTGTAGTATATTACATATAACTGTATTTACCACGGCGTTTCAGGCTTTTTTCAACCAGGTTAGTATAAAAAATATATGGCCACACTGCGCAAATAACCGGTTATTCATCACTTGAATCCGAAAGTCATAACCGAATAATTCAGGTTATTTCAATAACCGGGTAATAGGTTATTTTTCACTCGAGTGATCCCAACACTAACCGTGGGGAGATTTAGAAAACCATATTCAAACGTGGCGTCATCCTATACACTTCTATAATTTTCCGTTTGCTGTGTACGCACGCTTGATAATTATACAATGTATAATATACCCGGACAACAATCGCGATTTCCTGGTGAAATCATGAGGATATCACAACGTGATTTTTTGTATCACGCTGTGATATCCTGAGTGCATACACATGCTTCATCACAGTGATATCATGTAGAACTCACGGTGTGATAATTGCAAAATTTGCGCATGCGTATGAGCCCTGCGAACTGCGAATTTAAAACCTAGTTTGTTATTCACATTACACCGTTATAATTTATAAATCGTTGTTTGAATATCACAAATGTTGTCCGGGTTAACTATATATAGTTAATTTAAATCCAAGAAAATATTGAATGTATTTAACCGCAAAAACTGTTGATTCAACATAATTTTTCTCCTAGTGTACGAACGTAGCGCAAAAATTATTATCCAAACACCGTTGGCATAAAAAATCACGACATGATTTTTTGTGCTATCGGTCAATCTCAAACAGCGATGGCATAAAAAATCACGACATGATTTTCGTTTCTCACGCAGTGACATCCGGATGATGTCCGTATAAATAAAATTTGTGAAAATCACGACGTGACGTTCGTATGATTTTCATTTATCACGCGGTGACTTCCATATGATATCAGTATGAATAAAATTTGTGAAAATCACGACATGATGTTCGTATGAATATCACGAATGTTGTCCGGGTACATACCGATAGGTTATAAATATTAGATAGAATCCAATAAAAAATAAGTAATTGGTTTGAAATGTGTTTTGGCTAATTAATTATAATTATAAATGATAAATAATTATTTATAAATGAGAATAGGACAAATCATATAAGGTTTCACACCAAACAAATAAAAATATATTTTTTGGTAATTTTAAAAATATGTTAATGATTTGTTTTTTAATTATTAAAATGTATTTCCTAATTATAATACCAGAATAAAAATTTTGCTTTACTGATTTTTTTAATATAATTAATATTAATTTTATTATAATAATAAATATTTATTTAGAAAAAAACAGAAAATTAAAAAAATGTGTGAAGAGAGAATTTGGGGGGAGGGAGGTCAAGACAAGGGGGGCAGAGTGTTTAAAAACGACTTGTAAAACTATATATATTGGTAGAATAAAAAATAACTTGGAAAAATATATTTTATTTAAAAAATACAACAAATATAAAATATCAAATAGGTACCTATGTAATATTATTACTCAAAAATATAGACAAAATATTAGTCAAAGAAAGGTATAACTAATAAAATACAAAAAAATATGCATCTAAAAACTCTTTTTCTTCACATGGGAGCTAAAACTTTTAGGTTTAATTTTAAAATCTTTTAGGTTTTATCAATTCCCTGTAAAACCTCTACACCTTCACTACTCGTCAGAGTTTGAGTTGGACTTTCTCTTTATGCCTCTCTGTTGTAGAAGGGGCCCTTCCACCCGACCTTAAAGGCTGGTCAATGAAGAGTTCCAACGATATCG